TAGTGAGCTACACGACCGTAAACTAGACGGGACGATTCAAATGAACAACGCCATCGAGCTCTTGAGAGCGAACCAAGTCTAACGTGTATGTGATAGTAGCCCTTCTGCTTGCTCCGACCGAACGTACCTAATGCCACTGAATAATGCACATGATCCTGAGTAACTGAACGCTGCGCAGCATCGGGTTCATGCATGCGGTATCACAGTTGGGTTGAAACAGGTCTCTGCAGACGATCACAGAGCGGCAGGCTTGACATTTAGCGCGCTGTAGAGTCGAGCAAGCGATGGCCTAAGTCTATATCTCCATTCTGTGGCTGGACGGTTGCATATACCGCGCTAGACATGGTGAGGCATTGTAAACAAATACAGCCACGTGACTCAGTCAGGTTTCAAACACGTTTCAAACCTTCTGCTTTTACGCCAGCACATACTTAGAACTTGAGTGTCGATGGCCACCTCAGAACCGGGGTTCCGCCCACGACGTTTTGCCGTCATTGGAGCCGGAGGAGCGGCTGGACTTGCAACTTTAAAGATAGCGTCTGAAGAGTTGCAGAACCAGATCAAAGCGGGTACATGTGAACTAGTCGGATTTGAGCAGCGTGAAGACTTGGGGGGTGTATGGTGTGTCTCAGCGTAATCAGTAGAACCAGAGTGACTAATGATATTGAACTATGGCTATAGGCTGCCTGATCCAACTCCTAGCCCACTACGACAAAAGTGGCCAGACACACCATTATATGAATCTTTAATTACAAACGTACCACACCCGATTATGTATTACCCCTCTTACCCTGCTCCTCCATCTACCCCGCTATTCACTGGGGCTCGTACAGTGAACAAATACCTGCAAGCTTACGCAACCCACTTTAGGCTCAGGAAATATATCAACTTCAACTCTCGTGTCACCGCCGCCGCTTGGGACCAGTCGATCAACCAATGGAGATTGACTTATGGTACAAATGGATTGGCAAACTGCTCTATTAATGTTTCGTGCTTCGACCATCTGCTCATTACAACTGGACACCGCCGAAATCCTTTCTTTCCGGAAGTTCTTGGACTCGATACTTGGGCGTCCTCAGAATCTCGCAGTTACGTACATTCTATCTGGTATCGCAACCCGGAGCCATATCGCGGCCGACGTGTCCTGATTATTGGCGGAGGTCGGTCTGGAATCGACATCAACGACGAGCTTGCTAAAGTTGCGAAGAGAACTATCCACTCTAGTCGATCGTTTCAAGACCGAGATGTCGAGTATACTGCCCAAAGAGGGCCTATATCTCATTTCTCATCTGATGGCTTTGTCCACTTCATAAACGGCAACAAGGAAAACGTCGACCGCGTTATCTTTGCGACAGGATATCAGTACAACTATGAGTTCTTAACTGAGATCCCGACACATAATCCCGGCGGCTCGTCCAACCAACTGTATAACTCGCGCTTTCATATCTATCCTCTCGCTCTGCATATGTTTCCTCTGCAAGCTGCATTTCCCCCCTCGTCGCTGGCCTTCATCTGCGCCACCATCGGTGTCACTGTCTTTTCTCTTGCCGAGGCGCAAGCGACCCTGGCAATACGTCAAATGTCGGGCCGAGTGTTGCTTGACTTTGACTACGAGCTGGCCGAGGTCTTAAAACAAAACGAGAGACTACGGCATAAATACAACGACTCGGCTATATCCGTTGCCCAGGAATGGCACCGGTTCGAAGAGGCGGCAGCTTACGACTACATTGACCTCATTTGGAAGAAAGCGCTGGATAGTCAACGGATTCCTAGGTGGAAGCGAGAAATTATGCCGCAGAGGTATATGATGCGTGCAGAGTGGCACGACCTAGAGCGATTGGGCTTGAGCAAAGAATGGATCGACGGTGTAGGTAGAGGTGGGATTCAAGAATGGATTGAGCTCATGAGACGCGTGGTGAGGCGAGCGCGGGTAGGCGGCATGGAGTTAGCTCAGTCTCCGTATAGCACCCAGGATGATGACAGCTAGCTGCGGGCTGAACCTGCTTTTTGTTGTATAATCCTATGATGAAGTGATGTGACGGACTCCGATGGGTGGGCCGCACTGTGTCAAGGCGCATACATCCATTGTAATGACATCGTGAACTCCTACACTACAGAGCACAGTCTCTTGGGGACTAAATTGGTAGATATTGCCGAATCGGATAGAATATATGCTTCAAACCGGTTGATTATACGTGTTTGTATCTACTAGGATGCTGTGTATCCGTACTATGTAGCTTTCTCGGTTATAATAGAGTATGGTATATGTAAAGTCTGCTCCCAGTTTCAGGCGGGTCTCGTACCACTAGACTACAATAATTCCTGCCCCACTCGAAAGACAGACTCGATTGAACGCTCACTGGATGGTGAGTGAGGTCAGCCAGTAACTTCAAATCATCAGAACATCTAAATAGCTAAAGAACATGTTGCTCTCGCAACCAAAAACGACAGTAAATCTGTAGTACCCACTTTACCAGAACGTATTCACATGTTTAAAGTAGCTGAGGAATGTAAAAGCAATGGACAAACCCAGAATTGAACTGGGGACCTCCTCAACTCGCCAACGTGCAAATGAGGCGCGATAACCACTACACTACATGCCCGATGACGTGGGGTCTGAGCAGGACACCACGTTCGGTGAGTTATTTTTGGCCGATGAGGTCTCATATTCCACATTTATTTCTGCCAAGATAGATTGAGGTGACACAACTGCTCAAGCTTTTTCACATATTCGCCACATATATCTCAGTACAAGGAGGCTGGATGATGGGCGCTCATCTTGCAATCAAGTTTCAACCCATCAGAACGTGTTTGTTTCAACTGGAGTGGTATGATCTCAGGTGCTCAGGACGCTTAATGAATACTCCATTTCGCTTTTGTCCGAATCGAGGCGGTTGAGTGCGCTGAGCCTATATTTGTGGGGGTCGTGGTAAGACGATCAGGGTACCGATGAATTTCAGGTTCCAGCGTATATATGGACGTGGGTAATCCGATTGCTTTATAAGTATCCACGTTCAGGTAGAGAGCTCTTGGGATGTTCCGTAGCGATGTTCGAGGTCACGTTTGTCATATCGGTGAGATTTAAGCGCAGACGTCACCGAGTTCGGCGGCATGTCCGGAATCTAGTCCACTACCCAAGTTGACAAGTCGAGCCTGACGCCCCGATTGGACGTGAATATGTGATCGGGCAGAGTTGAACTGTCAAGAGACGTTGGAACAATTGTGTGTTGCCGACGGATTTCGGTGGCTGATGGTGGCGCGTGAGAATCTAAGCGCCCAGCCTGAGAACATCCGGCCAACTTTACGCCCAGACTGTTCCCGACTGCCACAACCAAGAATACTCACAACACCGTGATTTACCTTCATATTGTAAATCCGACACAAAATGTTTATCTTAGATGCTAGCCGCCTTTCGATCGCAACACACACCTACAGCGAGGAGCCCAAACCCAACCCCTACAACCCCTAAGCTAAAGATGCATCCTAGCTCAGCTCTCACCCCCGCAATCTGAGCTCGGTTGAACCTGGCTACACCAGTAGGATCCTCACCAAACAAACGTGCCCGCCGGCTCCCCTCCGTCATCTAGAGC